TAACGCCACAATCGGTGAGAAAGATGGGGGTAGGAAGAGACGATGAGAGAAGATCGTGACGCGACGGGTGCCCCGGGGCCGGGGAAAACTTCCGACGGCCGCGAGAAAGTTAGATTGCTGAAATAGTTGGCCTTATCTCCCTGTGTCGCGGCGACGTGGAAAAAAGGGGAACAGCGCAGGATGGAAGGCCCGGCGAAAATTCACGGCTAATTTATGTGCCAATTAATTAGTAATTAAGCCACCCGTTTTTCGGACGAGTTGAGTTCCCTCCACGCCCCTGTCCGCTCCTGTCGATAGAGAAAAAACGCGGATTGCATATTGTTTCCAAGAGTCGACTGGTCGTCTTTGAAACGTTTTAATGCAAAATGCTTTTCGACCGAGTACCATGGCCGTGTGGATAACGTAAAAAGAGGAGCGTTAATCTCCTGCGGCCCTACTTTCATCCTTTCTTCTATCCATTATCATCCCCTCCGGGATTTTCGACCCGTCTCGTTACTCGGTCTTACGAACCGCAAGTTTCGACGAAATTACGCCGTGAACGCAGCCCGGAGTCTCGGAAAAATTAACCGGAAGAATTAATATCGATCAGAGGGCGAAAGAGGCCAAGGAGCCTTTCCGCGGTGGATTCCGGCTCCACGTCCATTTTCCGAAACGTACGAGGCATTCCTCTTTTCTTCCCAGCGGAGTTTCACCATTATCCCGGTGGAATCCGCGGATCATTGTGCGGTCTCGCGTTAATGGACCCGAATATCTCTGCGCGAACCATAGAGGATTCCCGGGCAAAGATAATTTCGTCAACGAACCTGTTGTCGGGCCTTTTAAAATGAGAGATCGAATCAGAACCGAATGAAGCAACCGGTGGAAGAGTCGACAGGAAATAAAATGCCCCGCGGTGGACAAAGGAAGTCTTTTGTTCGCGAACATCGTTCGGTTCGGTTCGGTTCTCCTTTTGCCGAAGGAGGAGAGTCAATATTGACCGTCCCGCGCCTTCCAGGCTAGTCCATTATCCGCAGGAATTTCTTTCCCCTTGTCGCGGGAAATCGAAACATTAAACGTTAATTAGGATCACGGGTCGTAAAATCGCAGCTCGATTTCCTCCCTTCCCCGGACGGGGGAGGACCCCGCCCCTTCGAGGGTGAGAGGGAGACGACTCTCCGAAGGTTCGTTTTTCCACGCGGTTTCGATCGGGCTTCTGGTCGACGAAAAGTTTCTTACCCGATTTTCCGCGACGGCTGATACGAAGAAAAAGCGGGAGAGGTTGCTTTCTTCGGGAAATGTTCTCTCACGGAGACCGGATAAGAAATCCGATGGAGGACAAACCCCGACGAGACGAGAACGACGCGAGGGTTCGAGGGGCTGTGGTCGAGACTCGTTAATTAAGCATTCGATCCCGGAATCCTCCGTCTTACCATCGAGTTTAACGAGTTTAAGCAGCCGAAACAAGACGCTTCGTTCCTGCTTTTTCAACGATCCCATGTAGTAGAGGTTCGCTTCTGAACGAATTTGACTGTACCGGAGAGGACTCGACGTAATGGACGTGCAGGGTCGACGTGTGATTGACTTTAACTACTTAAATAATTTCTCGCCTTTTACGGTTCGTTTGCGACAGCCACGGGCTTCCTGTTCACATATTCCGTTGACTACGGCTGAAAGAAATATTTCGTGGGAAAATTTCACGAGCGAGAGACACGGCGACGAACTTTCGCCCAGGCGGTAACTCTGCAGTTTCGCTTGTGGAAGAGGCAACAGGAACCGAAGATGCCACTTAGCCCTCGTGCAAATTTAATTTCCGCCTACCGCGGGCTCTTGAAATTAGGCTAATGCCACCGACGGGGACTGTGTATGCCCTTTATGGAGACCATCGCTGCCTCCGCCGGCATTTGACAAAACTATCCTCTCGCTTCCGGACGAGCGACCTCCTCGTAAAATTTATTCCTATAAACGCTGAAAACACTTCGAAAGTGACAACTCGTTGAAGATAGACACCGATAACGGAGTAAAATTATATTTCGGATACCTCTAACCGGAAATCGTCGATCAGAGGATACGCTAAACATAGATAAAAGTAAGGAATTCTTCATGAGCAAGCGATTCTCGTCGATCTATTCTACGCGTGCATACACAATTTCCAATGAGGGGAAATTATCAGCTGTTAGCCAGTTGCTTCGAGCACGATGAAATAAGCAAGGAATTCTTGCGAGTACAATGTAAGACCGAATTCTCGTAAAACCCTTCTATACATATGTATGCACGGCCTCGGAATTCGTTCTCGAGTATATTAGGGGTATCGCAGAGAATTTTTCTTTCTGTCGACGACTCGCACGCCAAGTGTCCCCGCGAACAGCGAAATTAGTATTCCAACGAGGCCGGCGGCCGTTATCAGATCCCGGCTCGTCCGACTGGGCGAACCATCGATGCTATCTAGTTCGTTCGGGGAAACCTTTACCGTCGACGCCGTTTTCTCTTGTTCAAATTTTACGATACGGTTCGCGAAAGTAACGGATGCTTAAAACGTGTGCCAAATGGCAAAACGACGGTTCATTCTCGTCAAGATTAGAATACCAACGTAGATAACAAGTCAGAACTGTCTGATAATTGCATTCGATGCATTCGTAAAACAATTAATAGGCGTAGAAAAGGAGCTTGTAATCAATATCTTTTGATCAGATTAGATATGGTCGTAAAGAGCAGCCTGTTATTAAGCTATCTCGAATGAGGTTGAAAAAATTGATTACGATTTTTCGTGCCACGATAATCTTATGACGAAAGTATTACTCGGGGACTCGACGAAGTTGCCTACCGCGCAGCAAGCCGCAACGATTATCGATTGTTCCCGCTAGTTTCCCCGTGTAATTTTAACCGCATTTACCGTTGTTACATTATTGCATCATTACATGCTCCGAGTAATCGCATTAACCGAATGCGGCTTTGATACGAGTTTCGCAGCCATTTATCGTTGCGATGCGTAATAACGGAACCTTCTAAAATATTTAAGAGCACAGGCTCTCCTTTTGGACTCGAATTCATTTCCGAGAAGCGTTACTTTTCGACTGATGCCGACTTTAATACCGCGATTTCAGAGAGAACGTCGTTCGATTTTTGAAGTAGGCGTGGCAAAAATGAGCACGCGATGCCGGATCCTCGCGGAGGAGAAAGGCTGGACCAAAAAACGAGGAACGAGTTCTTCGCCGCGGCGAGATCAATCGCGCGTGTGCTTCCAGGCGGTAAGAAGAAAAAGCAAAACGCGTCGGGGGCATCGCGATTCTGTCGTTCACGATCAGTCGGTTCTGAACAAGGGAGGACGGGGGCGATTTCAATTTATATCGCGGATGACCGTGCACGCCGAGAAGTTGGCTTCCGCCCTTTAATTAGCGAACTTTCGGGGGCTACTCGAGGCGATCGCGATCCAACTTGAATTCTCCCCCGAAACGACGCGAGACGGGGACGAGACGTCGGAGCGTGGATAAGCGGAAAATCCAGCCACGGCCGGCGATCATCAGCGGTGGTCGATAAAAAATCGATGCTCGAGACTTGGTCGCGGTCTCCTATGTTCCGTTAATTATTTTCAGAGGATCCCCTCGGCGCACAAAAAGGAAATCGGGGTGAAAGAGGCCAGAGGCAGGCGGAGGGCTGGACAGAGGAAACGGCGAAGGAATTTGCCCTCGGGCGGTAGCGGTTCTCCGGGTATCGCGTATTATCGCACCTGTGGGAAAACGATCACCTGGCTCGGAATTAACTTTATAACAAATAAATTGAAATCGAGCCGCCGCGAATTTCCAGAGACTCGGCCGAATATCATCGGGTGATTTACGAGGTGGCGCGGGATGGCACCGCGGCATTGACACCGAAAACAGTCGGGGCAATCGACGCTTGGAAAAAGGATTAAAAAAAAAAGAGAGAGAAACAGAAAATCCCGATGAATTTCGAGAGAGTCGAATCGCGACGGGCCACGCGAACCGAGAGCCGGGCTAAACGGATGATTGCAACGAAAGAGAGATGAAAATTGGGAAGGGCCGGTGGTTCAAAACGACTCCTCGCTACGTGGACCCGGATTCCTTTTCTCTCTTCGCTCCCCGTACGCCCGTTTCTCCCGTGGGAAGAATACGAGAAATTGCGAGCAAAAATATCCGTCGGGCGAAGTTGGAATCGAATTAAAAAGCTGGCCAAGCCAATTAAGGCGTTTCGCGAAAGTTTAAGAGATTCTTCCCGGAAAAGGGTAAGCTTTCCAGGTGTGCGGCGGCACCCGTTTTTTCTTTCTATTACGTCGCCTTCCGCCTGGTCGCCGAACTGGGCGCCATTAAGCTGTTCACTCTTCCGTATAAATAGAAAAAGAAAAAGGGAGACCGCGAGAGCCAAACTACGAGAAGGGAAGAAAAGCTTTCGTACAATTTCAACGAAATTTAGCTCGTTATCTGGCCGCATCGCCTCGTCTCGTGCACGGAAAAATTTTCGATCATTTTCATCTCCCGTCTCGGTACCGCACTTCCGTTCCCCTGTCATCGGAAAAGTCTCCCGCGCTCGACGCGGTTACTCGCTGCGAAACGAGCAAATTCTCTCGCTCAACGCCGTTGGAAACCCGCAGCCGTTCGCGTATGCTCCTCGACGGCAGCTGTTCCCCCTTGCAACCTTTCGTTAAATATTAAATTTCGACTACGCCGTTTGCCCCGATAACGCTAATAGCTATCGGACGACGGAGCCGTAACGAAGGAACAACGTTGCCTCGAAATTTCTCCACCGGAGTCTTGCCGATTCACGATCGCGATAAATTTTCGGACAACGAAAACGTCGGCTAAACCTCCGCGATACATCAACCTCCCGTGGATTCGTTAAAAGCAACGATTCGTCTTGTCCCATGTCCGATCGTCGTAGCTGATGAACGTCAAACTGTATTTCCATTTCGCTCTTAACGTTGCATACGCACGATCTCGCGTCGGCTCCGAGAGTCGACCGCGAGTCTAAAATTGGCTAAATATATTTTTAATGGGAACCGCGTCACTTACCATCGTAGACGTTGAGCTGCGCCATGGCTGACACCGCGTCTCCGACTCCGTTCTCGGCTCGACACTCGTACTGGTTGTTGTCGCGAGGCGATTTGACAGGTTCGATCCGCAGCAGGACTCCGTTGTCATAGTTCTGCACCAGGTACCGTGACTGAGACTCTGCGGGGCGAGAAATTCCAGGTGAACAAAAAAACCGACTGCGTTATCTGCGTTTCGCTGGATTAGCGAATCCAAAAATCGGGGACAATCGCCCGTGTTCTGGGAATAAAAGAGCACACGTGCCGTTAACCGACGATTTTTCGCGGCGTTGCAGGTTCCCCGGCGGTTAATCGCGCGCGCTTCTCCCGAATAGAAACTCGGTTCCGATTCGACGAGCCTGCGGCAGCGCGTTAACACGGGCTCGATCTCTGGGCAAATTCGATTAATACCGTCGGAGATAGAGGCACCGTGGAATCGAGTCGCGTTTCACGCGGGGTAAGATCCTCGAGAAACCGGATATCGAGGTCCACCGAATCGAACCGACGCTAACGAACACGTCCAAACACGCGACCGACCGAGGAGCGAGGTATTCCGCTCGAGAGAAGCGACGGTCAAGATAATCGAATCTCTCTCGAGAGAATTGCGACGTCTGCTTTAGTCGAGCCCGGATGCCGAACTCCGGCTAGGACACGGAGTCAGTTACGCTGCTGCAACAGCCGGTGTACGGTTCCGGTCGGAGATTTCGAAAAAGAGAGGCTAAAAAGGGAGAAGCCGGTAGAAGGGAACCGGACCGTAACGAGATCAGGAGACCAGCGCGCGATGGGACTAGACTTCGATGCGATTTCCATCCCGGTGTCCCGGGCCGCTCGGAACTTTCCTAGAGGCAGATGACAGAACGAAAAGGGAGTGAAAACTTACGGGAAAGTTTCTTTCCGTTCTTCCGCCACTGGATCTGGGGCGCTGGCGATCCCTCGGCCGTGCAGTGCAAGCTCGCTATGTTGCCCGCCTTCACCGATTGCGATTGTGGCCTCACCAGTACCGTCGGCGGATCTGCGGGTACAAGATCAAGGGAAGCCTTTGATCAGCGTCTAGTCGTCCCTTCGGGCCCCTCGATACCCTTCTCTCCTCCCGGGTTCGCAGAGGAACCAGGGTCGGAGAGATCAGGATAGGTCGAGGCACGTTGCTCAAAGAATTTTAGTTAACACAGTAAATTACAGGATTTGGATTTTAGGATTCAAATGTGTAAATGTATCAAAAATATAAAACTTAAATCAGAATAAAATGATTATGATTTATTTGAATAGTATACAACAGAAACGGTGAATTTGGATGTTGGGATTTAGACGTATGAGATCAGAGATTTAAGGGGCCTTAATCAGTGTGAAACTTAACAAAAATTGAATTCTTTTTTGCATTTTTCGAAAGTACCTTCAAAAATATTATACTAAAATTTCAAGGTCGAATCTCAACTAGTTTTCGAGTGGCAGTCTTCTAATAGTATTAATATAAGTAATAGTTAATACTTTAAACGCATTTTCCTCGAAATGATATTTTTCAAATTTGCTGATACTATAACTCAAACACCCATTATCCGATTGACTTGAAATTTCAACAGAATGTTCTAGACATGCTTTATTATTGAATGACATATTGAATACTTTTTTTAAAGAAAATTCCCAAAAGTGACGTAAATTTGTGACAGTCACACCACTGGTAAGGTGCCTTAAAAGAATACCGTATTAGGTTTTAGATCGTTTTATAACGATCCTAAGTTTGACAAGATCCTCATAGCTATCATCGAAGGAAAAGAGAGGGCGAATCCGAGAGGGAACAGACGTTCCGTCTCGAACACGGAATCGATTAAAAAAACATGTGAGCAAAAACGTGGAAAAAATGGAAACACGCACACGAGAAAAAAAGAGAAATGAAAAAACATTGTCGGCGCTGATTCCTAGGTTTGATAGGATGGAAACTCGTGTAAACTCGATAAACGAAATTCGCTATCGCAGGAAATCGAGCAACGAATAGATAGTCTGGAATGCATCGCGTCGTTCGGAATATAAGCGGATCCGGATCAGGCTACTTACAGGCTTTTCATATTTTCCCCTTTGAAACAAATGGGAATTCGCACAATTTTTGTATAAAAAAAAAGGAGAGACTTGTCACTCGTAATTATGAATGTTTCGTCTCGATGTTTAAACGAGAATCGAAAATCCCGGACTGGTTCTACCCAGCAGGAGAGAGACGGCGACGTTTCTCCAAGATGGATGGGCACAGTGCACCGGTTTGTCGGATTCCCGGCAGTTTTCCTGGCTCCAGGACTAGCTGCGAGACAGAAGGTCCGCGGAACGCGGGAGGCGTGCTATCTGGAGCGAGACTACTGGCCAAGTATTAAATTGGTCTCGAAACTTTGCGATCGCACAGACCGTTTACGGTCACTCTTCCATGGACCGACGATTCCCAGGAAAACGATTACACCTTTTGTCTTCTAAGGATACTCCATGAAATAATCACGCCGTCTCGACTGTTAACCCTTTACTATAATTGTTTTTCCTGATAGGAGTGCATGATTCGGCGGAGGTTCGAGAGTCGCGAGGAAAAATAAGTCGACCTCCATTAAAAATGTCACGCAGCTATTTTTTGAATGCAGAAATTGTTACGGTTCGATCGATATCGAATTCGATAAAAAATCGTGATAAAAAATTGTCCTCGCGAAGATAGGAGATTACAAAAAAAGGGGAGTTCCGTTCTCCGCGTTCAGCGGGCAGGCTCGAAAATTCGGACGCAAACGTGAACGCGCTAATCTATCGGCTCTGCGTGAAAACTGTCGAATGCGATGGGACGCGAAGCGACGAGCGGGGATGGGAGTTACGCGATGCAATTTAAGGTAAATATTATTCCATCGGCGAACCATCGATAATTTTTGATCGAATCGCTCGTTCGAGATTATTGGTATCCGGTCGAGTCGCATCGTGGTCCGGAGCGCGTGACGATTATCGTACCCAAAATAGTTCGTAACCGGTGCATTAATCGAGCGCGATCCGCGCGGACGCGAGATGGATTCTTAACCGTTCTCTACGGCGGGTGACGAATTTCATAATGAGAGGCCGGAGCTTATTTCGCAAAGTTCCCCAGAGGGGGGACCTTCCCCGCGGCCGGGTCCTCCGTCTTTGCGCTTTTTAACGAACGGAGTTCTTGCGAAGGGAAACGAGATCCCTGGAATTCTCGGCGACTCGCTGAAAAATGACTTTAACGAGTCGGCAGTCTTTCCCGGAGACCGCGAGCAATTTTCTCCCGACCGAAATTCCACCCACCCGGGAGGACGTGTACATTTATTTAGAGCGGGTTGCGCGGTGCATCAAAAGCACCTGCCGCGGCTACCCTCGCCCGATCATAATTTATGATCGACCATTAAAGAGCTGACCGATGAACGGCCAGTTACGTATTCTCAGTTTTAAATCTCCAATTAAGATCGAGTCTGGCAAAAGTTCTCGGCGAACAATAATTGGCAATCGACTGGGAAAAAAAAAACTTAAAAAAAACATGTAAATTCAGCCCGGTGAATACTTAGCGATTGAATCGAACTCTGAAAAAGCGCGTAGTTTACGAATTACGTTCGAGGGAATCGACGCGATTCGTTAGAGCCGTTAGAGGGGCGCATTACCGACAACCACTGCGGAAACAAGTTCCCGACTTTTCGCCATCAAAAGCGATCGCTCGCTCGTTTTCATTAAATCCAGCCGAGAGTTGCAGCGAGAGAAAAGAGTCGGGAAACGCAGGGCGAGGGAGGAAGAGAGAGAGAGAGAGAGCTACAGTCAGAGGAGAGAACGCGGGAATTCGGGAAGCCGGGGTGTGTTGCAACTCGTTTCGGAAAAGGGTTTCAGTAATTGCGTTTCGGTAATTCTCGCCCGACGCGACGCGACAAGGAAGGAATTGCAAGCTTTGCGTCGACTTCGTTAATAGGGTTAATATTTCCACGAGGACACGGGAAAAATGATGATCCTCGAACCGGAGAGGGGTTTTAGAAAAAATTTCCATCGCGTGCCGACGCGTTCACGTTTAGGGAAGGACGAACGCGCGCAATGATTAAATGCCAGTGAAAATTAGATACGAAACGCGAGACGTATTTGCGAAACGAATGATCCGAGAAGAACGCTATGGTTGTGTTTGACGATTACGAACGTCCTTTCTTAACTCCGATACAATTTTCTGTCAAACGGAAAGAGGAACGCGTTCGATCCTACCGGACCATCGGTCGCGCTCGAAAGCGAAAATCAAGAGAAAGATCAGCCGGTTATTTCCTACGAAAGTTCATAATAGCGAAGGATCGCGATCCGCGGTCGGTGTAAAAACGGACCGAGGGCCATATCTCATACTTAAAGTTTATACCGGTTTGGCAGGATCTCGGTGCGAAGCGGAGAGAGCCAGAAGGGAGGTAAAGAGAAGCCGCGAGGAGAAAAAGTTTCAGCCCGCGGCGCGGCGAGCTCACCTCTATTACGCTTTATAGCCTGCCGCGACGTAATTGAAAAAGTAGCCGATAACGGAGCAATCTGCATGAGATTTGAATAAAATTACGCGTTACCTACTGCCGAACGTATTACGAGGATCGATCGCGGGTGCATCACGCTGCGCCGGGGTCCTTGCGGTATTAATTTTCAACGCGCGCGCACAGATTTTCGACCCCCAACCATCCCGTCCCGTCCCGTCCCGTCCTCGTTCGCTAATTAATTCGAAAGTTTGAGCCGTCGAACGATGTTCGCACGGCGTGTACCATGAAAATACTACGCGACCAGTAAACAGCAGCGGGACGTGCAGCGATCGTGCGCGTACGCGGGTCCGGTCGTTCGAATCGGACGAATTTTTAACAAGAATAACGAGAATCAACTTTTGAATAACGATCCGGTCGAACGAAAAATTGGTTGGATGAACGAGACGCGACTGATCGTTCTGTAAATTGGTTTCATTTGTCTGCGACGAAGTCGGAATCGGCACGCGGCGGAACTTGAAAGCGTAGATCCGAGCGGGCCAGGGTTTTCGGGTCGCAGACGATGCGACGCCTCCCAGGGTAAATTCGCAGCCCTCTCGATGCCATTTTGCTCGTGCATCGATTGTAAACACGCTAGTTTATGTACGCGCGATGGATTCCCATCGGCGTCGAACGGTGACGTTCGGTGCCAGGGAAAAGCGGAGAGCGAGAGAACGAGAGGGAGAGAGAGGTGGGATCTGGTGGGTGGAAGCTGTGGTAGCAGCATCGCCGACGTCAGAGGGGCGCGGCCGCGTGGGGTGTACAAACAGTCTCAGTGATTCTGCCTCGCTAACATAAATGCAGAGAACATACAACGGATTCGATTGCCGTAGTCCATTTGAATTCATATTACAAAACTTTTAGGATAATTAACAGAACAAGCGAACGCGCTTCCATTTTTGTAAACGCGAGCAGCGGTTCACCCTTTCACGTCGAATCAGATTTCTGTTCGGCTCGAGCAAATATTAATTACGAACAGCTTTCAAACGTTTCCTGACAAAAGGTAGATATCAGCTGGGTGATAGCCGAAGGTGCCGTTTTCTACTGCGTTTGTACCGAAGGTGCGCACAATACGGTAACAATGGGAAATAGAATACATCCCGGCGCGGATTAAATAATGAAAATTTTCCGCCGTCCTCCGGCGAACCGTGAAATTGAATTTATATGCCGGAGGACCGGGCGTCATTGCCGTTTAAGTACTATTGCCGTTGCGATCGTTCCTCGTTCCTTCCGAAACGTGATAGGTTTCGGGTGTCATCTCTGTAATTCCCGATTCCGGTGCAAAAAGAAACGATGGCTCCTGACGTTCGAGGGGTATCTATTCCGAACTAACGTATAAATAAATTGCGTTCGCGTTGCAAAAGTTGACCCGCTAGTATAAATAGCCGAGATGGACGCGATTGCGGCTTTTCGAATCGGGTGATTCTCGAAATAGCTCGATTGTCCCTTTTCATTTTCAGAACATCGGAACAAGTATATTTAAATCGCGACCGATGACATTTTAAGATTTTCCGCACAAACATGTATTTTTAACTGGTCCAAAACAGGTAGGCGTTAAGAAGAAAGTACGAATCAGTAATGAACAGTAGTAGAATATCCGAGGTACATTTTAGTAGAAAATAGATCGATCGATGCCGAATGCTTTTTGGACACTGAAAATACGTTCTTTCTCTGGGGTCGACCAACGACGGTCCGAATATAAAATTTGAAGATTTTAATTCAGGTTAGCCGTCGCTTTCAATTAAGTTGCGACATCTTTAGCGCTCGACTTTCACGCAAAAATTGCAATTTATTTTCTTAGAATAAAGGCGTCGATTACTTCGTCCCCGTTCCACTTGTTACTATACTATTACTCTTTCTCTTCAGCGATAGAATTACGATTTGTGAAAAGAACGAGCGACGTTCCTTTCAAGGCTCGCGATTCGTCCGCGGATTATCCACTCCTCGCGTTTCTTCGAGATGAGTAAGTAACTGGAAACCAGCGAGGAGCGAACAAAAGGGGACGAAAAACAATTCGAAACACGAAAGGGTACAGTCAACCTCGTCCTGGATCTCGTTTTCCCGCGAAACTATAGCATCGATATATCTATGCAAAGCGATCCCGCGCGTTTAGCCGAACTTCTCGCACGGAATTTCCATTAGTTGAAGCGGTTTTCGGGTTGACAATGCATCGATGCGAGCCGCCCGGCCCGTTTCGACGGGGATCGAGGCTGCCCGTCGAACGATTTCGAATCAGCGCGTTTGGTAGCGCGGATAATTCAATTTGAATATGTATGCCGGCTCGAAAATCCGTGAGACACGGCCCAGACCCTTGCGAAACAACGTTCGCTTTACTTATCAAGTCGTTCGCGATCGTTCAACAGACGAAGTTCGACCGCGGAATTAATTCCGAGCCACAGCGGAATCAATTTATATTTTAAAAGATCGCCGACACACGATTTCGCTGTCTTTAATGGTTGCCGGAGCGATTCAGCCAAGTGTTTCTTTACGAGGTCTGAACTCGATACGGTGTTGGTCGGGGGTCAGAGGCGGAGTCCGAGTCACGGGGCGTGCGTCTATCTCTCCGGCTCCTTAAGAGGGTCTCCACGGGTCTATACGACCCGGTGGGAACCCGCCACAGGGCCTGCAGTAAATTTATGCAAATGTATGCCGGCAATATTCTAAATAAGTAGCTTCACCCCTGGCCCGACCCACGCGATATCACGGCGAGTTCTAACTGGTAGCGGGGCGCCTGTAAATTTGGCTAACGACCATCGAACCGTAGACTCTCGACGGAACGACTTTGGTCGGAAGGCTCGGTTGATTTTCCGCGGCAATGAACCAGTAGCGGTACGAGGAGCTAAACAAAATTTCTGAACGACAGGAAAAGCACTCGGAACGGCACCAACCTCTTTCTCCTCGATTCGCGACCCTTTGAAATTTTAATTCCCGAGGAAACGAAACCGGCGCGGCATTCAAGCTGCGGGAGAAACGCGTACAAGAGACATATCCGTAGAGCACTTTCGTATCCTCGTTTTTAGCGTGGGAGACCCCCGGGTTAAGTCCGGCCCCCGGAGCGGAGCTGGCTGCCGCTCGTAACTGGCTTTTAACGCTAATAGTGCTTTCAGACCCATTTAAAGAGCATTTACGAAACGGAGAAGAACGCGAAACTTTAGTATACCCGTATTCCGTGCGCCCGCGATACTTGGAAAATTAAATCCACCGTGGAGAGCGTCGGGGGGCGGGGGAAGTTTATTTTTAACCGGCATCGAGAACGTTTTGCATTCCGCTCCGCACGAAAATCCCGCGGAACAAAACCGAACGAGCGAAGCGATCGGACTCGACGCGTGACGCGGTTAAAAAAACCGTGCATAGATTAAAGAAAATTCGGCGGCTGGTTTTAACCTGCGGTTAACTGCGCTCCAATTAGCCGGTCGTAACGCGACTTTCTTGCCGCCTTCGCCGGAACTTTAGCAATCGTCGGGTCGCGCCGCGCGCAATTAGCCAGCCGCCTAGTTGATTCTCGTATTAAGAAGACTGGTAAAAACGGCGGGGATGTAAGTAAACGAAAATTACGACGAAGATAAACTTGCGCCGTCGTTAGAGACCGTGATGGACCTCGACTCTTTCTCCCTCCGCTTTTCTTTGCCTCGAATCTTGTACAAATTATACGCGGCGAGACAGTTTCGTGACCTTAATGGGTCGTCGCGAGTCGATACGGGGAAATTTATCGCTGTATTCCGCGTAACGAGTCGCGAGGCGGAAACGAGAACGAGAAGCTCGAAAGGAAAAAAGCTGTCGCTCGAAATTCGATTCGGAGGCCTTTGGCTCTTGAAACGGTATCGACCGGACTCGTAGCCAGAAGGACGGTTCGCGAATAAATCACGGAATCAATTCCGATACGTAGCTGGTGCCGCCATAAATAAAATGCTCCAGATATCGTCGAGATCGAGGGGGACAGGAGGGCGGCGGGTGGGACGAGAGAAACAAATGACGGCGCATAAGCGGGCCAGAAAACATTCGAAAGTTGGTCGGTTGCCACGTTTGACACGGGTTCCACGCGCGGCGCGGGGAATTTGAAATTCAAAGCGTGCCGGACCTCCACCGCGCCGATAAGAGCCACCGAGAGACCCCACCGTGCAAAAATACACATTAGCGGATTTGAAATTTAGATCGCGGCCGGTCATCCACGCGAAATTGAGTGCCGCCCTCGCCCTCACCGAGAAAACAGCCCGATTCACGGCACTGAGTAGGCCCTCGAAAAAGCTTGTGAACGACGACCTACTAGATCCTGTCCTTCGCGGTCCTGCTCTTTTCCTTCTTCGATTTCATAGATAATATGAAAAGCGTGCAGATACAAATCACGACTGATACTTAACGTCGTAATGAAGTAACTGAATTCACAGTAAAATGGGAAAGACAGGATTTTTGTGGTACACATATACAGGATACAAATATTAAATATGAATAACGTATAGCTACATATTAAGGACGTATTGCTATACAGTCAATCAATAAAAGTTTATGTACCTTATAAAAACGCATTTCCTATAATTAAAAAGAAATCAGACGTCGGAAGAATAATGCTAATAATAAATAG